TGGCCATCATGTGTATTCTTACGTAGCTGTTACACTGCCTGTTAAAATTTAAAATCACCAGTCTTTCTAATTGTATAAACTGTTTGTTAACCTAACGCGTTAATTTTGATTTCTATTTAGCACTTTTTTAAAAATTTAATTCAAGTTAAAGTATCTATAAAATTTCTGTTCTTTTCCTTTTTCAAATATATATATAGAAAGACGTTTGTACGTTTTCCAGACTTGAGAGCGGTTGGAGATAAGAAAGTAGATCGTCAGTGTAAATATTGTGACATGACGCCTGAAAGTCGGAATATTGGAGCCAGAGCAGAATTCCATTTCTAGCCAACGGATTGCCAAACACATGTTTCGTAGAAATAGATAAACACAATATAACAGAGAACTGTAAGACATGATTTATAATCGGGTCGCTCCGAAGTTATGAAAGCTAGTTCATTCGTGAATTCAGTCAGAGTCACATGAAAGAAAATTTTGGTTCGAGGCCTTCGAAAGATATTCCGGAATTTGAGAGTTCAACTGTGCAGTGTTAAACAGCGGACAACGGAAGCTGAAGAAATGATCGATTCGTAAATCAGAACCAAGTCAGTCACGTGGAAGAGAAGACACTCGCAGTCCAGTAAGAAATGGAGCGAGTCTTAGGCTGTCATTGATTGTGAGCTGTTAGAATTGATTATAATTGTAATAGAAGTGTCAGTAAATCCAATCATCCAATCCAGAACCCGTCATTACTCGCCACGCAAACCCCTCCTGCGTGACAATCCATATAATTACGTGGATAAAGCATAAACAGATGTTTGTGTGAACCGAGGGGCGTCCTTGACTTAGGACGGGAGTCATGAGGAATCCTAACGGATCATGCGCACTGCTGAGTTGGCATTCTGGCGCGAGAGGATGGGCGGGCCGTCAGACGTGCGTGAGAGGAAGAGGCCGCGCCATAGCTCAAGCTGTTAGTCGCTGGATTCCCATCGCGGCGGCCAGGGTTCGATCCCGGGTCTGGTCAGGTGGAATTTGTGGTGGACAAAGTGGCGCTGGAGCAGGTTTTCTCCGAGTACCTCGGTTTCCCCTGCCAATCTTCATTCCACCAATTGCTCCACAATCACCCTCACCTATAATCTGGGGCCGGTACAATAGGCCAGAAGTGGCCGCAGTACACGGGACTTAGTCCCACCCCACTAGCAATAAGAAAAAATACCCCCTTAATACCTACAGACTACTTTCTTTCCATGTAAAAGTTCATAAGCTGCAGATTTCTGGTAAGTGGAACACCAAATGAAGCAATTATACACGGAGTACATAAGCAGATTAGAGCAATGTTTCGGTATTATGAACACTTCCTTATAATATTCACTGGAAAAATTTTAATGTGAACTAAAATCACATAAACTTAAGCCGTGATAGCACGAATTTACACCAAAGATACAGATGTGTTATATACAAAACCCTTTTTTACAAGTATGTGAAAGTTAGACCCACATTTCAGATATTTCTCTGTAAATTCAAACACTGTCTGACTTTTACACTTAACGCACCCTAAGAAGTAGAAATCAGGCTTCTTAGAATGTTTTAATGACTACTACAAAATTAGAACATGTCTATAAAGGAACGGTGAGATTATGCAGTCCTTATCAGTTTATCTGTTCCAACAAAATAAACCGTAGTACATATTAAGTACTCGTAGTTAATATGTACGTTTCCTTCAAATGACCGACCATTTCAACAGAAGGGTATTTCCTTTGACGTCTATTCAAGAAGTGACTAGTTCGAACGTGGGTTAGGGCACCAACTATCCTGGAAATTTTCCGTGTATTTTCTCAGTCCCTTCAAACATATTCTGGGAGAGGCTACTACTGCTTGCAGATCCTTCTAAATGATTATTCATTAAACCCAACCGAATATTCGACTCCATATTGTCTGAAATATTGAAAGAGTCATTACACAGGCTGTCCAAGTGGAAAGATTAATATTTTGGGAGGTCATAATATCGGCCATTCTAAGCAAATGTGTATGTGTACGTGTGTTCTATTCCGGAATTTTTCCGTGATAGAGCTATTTCACTGCACAGTACACTGTACAGACGAGCAGCACGCCATGTCCTCACACGAGGTGCAAAGTGCATTGATGTTGACGGTGGAATTTTCGAGAATGAATTTACACTAGGTAAACTGCATTAATTTTGTCACTTCAGCAATAAATACCCGTTTTAGAAACACCACGTAATATCTTTTCCTCATCAATAATTTCAGAACTGTAAATGAAATAGCTCTATTTCGGAAACCGTTCGCAATAGGACACAAGTACATATACACTTTTTGCTTAGAATGGTTGATACTATGACCCCCCCCCCAGAATATTGACATTTCCTCATG